AGAGGTCTGCTCACATAGGAAATGCTATCTTTGACTCTGACAGCAAGAAAGCAGTGTGCTTTCCACAGTCTTTATAAATTCGATGTTAGAACAAGTGTCATTGAAGGGTTGTGTCACTAGCACCTTACAGTAAATAACTCTCATAAAGCCTTATGTAAAGTGTGAGATATATGAAACAGGAAACTGCACTTCTCTCTCTAAGACTGCATGCAGACGGACTACGTGCTGTAAAAATTCTTTAACAGTTTTTTTTTGGTAGCAGACAATATAGACATGTCCAGAAATGTTTATGATTCGGAAATAACTCACTGTAGAAAAATTCATTCAAAACACCTAAGGTAACATTCCACCGCAAATGTAAAATGTGTGGATATTTGTGAACAAAAAAAAAAAAATAGCTTTTATGTATATGAATTAATTTAATTAATTTACTTTTAATGAATTGTGGTGAACTGAAAATTTAATTGCAAAATTTAGACAAAATGTGCTGATTTGGAAACATTCTCCTTTTTCAGCGATATTCAAGATTTGAATTTTTTTTTTTAATAATTATACAATTTAGTTTTCAGTTTATTTCATTTTGGTGTTTAATTAATAAATCCTAAAATATAATAACCAATATGCTGGGGAATACATGTTTGTTCTATTACTATGGTACAAGAGGTATCTAATAGTCAACAGTTATAAGTAATCCAGTAGATGTCTTATTCATGCCTAAATAAAATATATTGAATTATAACTTTTAAGCAAACCATCCAAAAACATCTTAAATATGTCAACATATACATTAACATGTAAATTAGATAAAAAATACACAATAATAAAAAAGAAACATTTAAAAATAAAAAAATTCTACTTCTTGATTTTTTATTTGTATTTTCGATAAATGTACTTTTTAAATATTATTTAATTCTCTTCTTTTCATCCAAATTGCGCACATCTGCCCTCATCATTCCAAAATGATTGTCTCTATCCGCCACTCTTTCATATAATAAGATCTGCACTCCTGAACAAGCTTAAAAATGCTCTCTTGTTTCAAGAACTTTAGACAACTGATAGTAGTTGACAATATGAACACTTAAAACGTTGTCTTTGGTATTTCCTGACATGCACACGTACATCTTGTTTTGGATAACGGGTACATACATCCTAGATACTAGGATAAGTTGTGTGTGTATGGATGTGTATAAATATACATTTTGTAGTGCGCTCCAAACGTGAAATAATCTTATTGCTCAATTATTTTTATCTTCCATATTAAAAAATGAATTCACACTTTATCACTGCTTTTAACGAAAATAAATGTTCTCTGTTTACATGGACACACAAAATGGGCTAAATACATTTTAAATTAATAACTTAAGACAAAATGCTGATTTATTTGTCTTAACTTATTTTAATTTTAATGTTATTTTGCCTAAGGCACACCTTTGCAATAACCATGCATTCTAATCAGCATCTTGATATGCCACACCTGTGAGGTGGATGGATTATCTCGGCAAAGGAGAAGTGCTCACTAACACAGATTTAGACAGATTTGTGAACAATATTTGAGAGAAATAGGCCTTTTGTGTACATAGAAAAAGTCTTAGATCTTTGAGTTCAGCTCATGAAAAATGGGGGCAAAAACACAAGTGTTGCGTTTATAATTTTGCTCAGTGTAAATACATACATAGGTACACACAAATGCAGAAAACAATCTCTGTAAACTTTGTATTTAATGCTAAAAACAACAGGAAAAATACAGTATATAAGTGGTATAATAACTCACAATGTAAGAATAAAATGTCATAACTGTGGTAATTATTCCACATGATATTTAAGGTCATAATTCCCCTTTCAGATACAATTTACAATTAGCTGCATGACTGCATTGCAGATAGCAGATCTGAAATAGATTGAAACCATATGTGTCCTTGTTATTGCCAATGCACTGTCACCCTCACCATCTATACTGGGGAAGTGTTAATTGATCTCTGGTCGAATCCCTGGAATCATTTTCTTAGAACTATGCATGATGCAACTTAGAACTCTGCCACATTTTTAGTCTGGCACATGTGCAAAAAGGCACGTGAGTCTTTAGCAAGGGAATTAATTACTTCACACTTTCTCATAATTGTAACAAATCCAGTAACAGCACTAATTCTTGGTGTCCACGTAACTGTTCTATGCAGAATCCATTATCTCTTCGACTTGTAAACCAGGCTTGACTATCCAGTTTATGGTGACCTTCTCCTGTACACTGCTCGCACCCTTACTGCTAATTCGCCCTTGCAGGACTTCTCGTGAGAGGTTCCCATCTTTTGGAACAGCCTGCCTGCCCCCATCAGACTCTCCCCTAATATTCAATTGGTTAGGAAGTCCCTCAAAACAGTTCAGAAATGCTTATGGACTACCAGAGTAACCTTATTCCAGATATCTGTCTCTTGCTCTCCTGAAGACCCACACTCCACTTTCACCTCCAGTTCTGCTACTTTTCCACCTTATTTGGTTGCTGTCCCTCTTGCTGCCCTACCATGTTTTTGTACCCCACCTCCTCTAGACTGTAAGCTTGTTTGAGCAGGGTCCTCATCTACTCATTGTTCTTATATCATTATGTAATTGTCTCATTTATTGTAAAATCCGCCCCCCCCTCTTTTTTTATAATATTGTAAAGAGCTTCAGAATACCAATAATAATAATAATATGGAATCAATGACTGGCTAAGTTCGGGTAGAAGTGTTTGCTGGGAGCTGTTCATGAATTAGCTGGAGAGTCGAAAATGCCAGTATTAATGTCTTTCTACTTAGTTCTTCAGGACTGCAGCTTATCTACTGTTAAAAAAAGTGCAATTTGCTAGTCAAACAAACACTGGAGTAGAGGCGCCCACTACTAACTACCAGTGCTAGGCCCCTAGTTTTCCTTATTTTAACTATAGCAATTTATGAATGTAGCTGTCAAGCTCTGTTTAATTGATTCCCGCATATTGGTTCATGTTGTTTTTTTGTACCATGCTTCACTGTGTTTAGATAAGATGCATGCTAAAGTATTATATAACTTTAATATTGCATTCATTGCCTCAGAGCCACGATACTCTCGTTAGAAACAGGCATACATCATTGTTGGAATTGGCCAGTGATCGCACAGTGAAGGTAAGTGGAAGAGGGGCAACTTGCTGAGTTTGTCAATCGGTGAAGCTGGTAACCTCATAGCATTACTTTAACTGTGTGTCAGACTTTGTTAATATTGTGTGTAAGACTTTGCAATGGATACAAAGTTGGAAAATAAACAGAAAGTTATATAGTAAGTAGGACTCTAGAAGTAGGGTTCATATGCAGTACATGGTGTAGTGAATAATAAATAAGACACACCAGACACGAATTCATGATTGCAGTAAGGCTGTGCTAATGTTTATTAGGGTTTAAACACAAATAATCACGTTCATTTAACATATTAAACCAAAACTTAATAGCCAATTAACTAAAAAACTGATCGCCGAAATAACTCACCATACAAGTTAATTCTCCCTTTAACCCAATTCCAATAATATACCACGACAATTAAATAATTAATTACTAACAATCCTAAATAAGTTCATAAATAACTATGAACATATAAACACATTATATTACAATTATTATATAAAAATAAATGGGAGGCAGGGTGAGCTTTAAGAATACAGCTCCTGCAAGGCACTGCTTAGCTGGTCGCTGGCCCAATTAAGTACTTGCAAAAAAATAGCCCCATATATGCCGAAAATGCACCTCGCTCCACTAATATCGAATAGAAAGCCAATCTGAGCATTCCAAACCGTGAGCTACATATCTGTAGATATAAATTATTGCAAAAAAAACCTGTCATCATAAACTGGCAAAATCAAACTAATGACATCCTGAATTTTAACACCTACACTACCTGAACACAGCAGCGATGACTATATTTCTCATGGGCTTATTGTCTATGGCATTAAATTGTAAAAGAGAGTGGTCATGCCATGGAGGAAAGTGACACCTGTTGACATTCTGCACATTACTAACATCTGGCCAAAGAGCAATCTAATGAATTCCACTGCACCGGAATGCTCATTAATGGAATTATTCCCAGAAAAGGGGATGGGAGGGAGGGGGTTACTTTAGTTTTTGAGTCACTCTGCCCTTTGTCAATGCTATTGGCCAGTATACATAATACTTAAGGCAACAATATAACATAAATAATCACTCTGTTTCCTCTGGTCATTGCAGTAGTTATGTTTTAATTATTAAAATTATATCGCTGTATGGGGGTATAATATGACATGTACTGTATGAAGAATAAACCTTTTAATGATTTCCCTTGATCACAAGCTATCTAGAAGAGTTTGATCTAAGTTTATAATTAATATCTTTATCTATCCCTTGCAGTTGACATCTCAGCTTTTCCTGTTCTGCCCTTTATCTCAATACACTGTATCTTACTACACGACTTCACTTTACTTAAAGGACCACTATAGGCACCCAGACCACTTCAGTTTAATGAAGTGATCTGGGTGCCAGGTCCGTCTAGGGTTAACCCTGCTATGTTTACAATAGGGTTAATCCAGCCTCTAGTGGCTGTCTCATAGACTACTGCTAGAGGCGCTTCATCACTTCTCACTGTGATTTTCACAGTGAGAAGACACTGCCATCCATAGGAAAGCATTGAGAAGAAGGAGGAGAGTCGAGGAAGCCCGGTGCTGGAGAAAGGCCTGGGGGGCCATGAGGATGGGGGGGGCAAGAGGGGGACCATGAGGATGGGGGACCTATTAACACTATATTGCCAGGAAAACGAGTTTGTTTTCCTGGCACTATAGTGGTCCTGTAAGCCTAGAAGCCTCTATGACAGAATACACACACACAAATGTACAGACTTTACAGTTTGTGGTGGGAAAGCAAAATTTGCTAAGTGACTTGGATGATTTGTTTCCTTCATCACAACAGTTTAACATAGATGTGACCAAGAACATAATCATGAATGTGGGAACGTTCCACATCCACATTCCCTGTGCAGAAAGCAGTGGCCTATTGGCTAAGCCAAGTAATTTGGCCATGTGGCACATGCAGGAAATCCGATGTGCTTCAACATCCGGGGAACGTAATCATAGACATCTGGTGTCAAAAGGAACCAAGCTAAACAAATAAAACTCACTTATGTGGTTACAAGTCTGAAGGCCTAAAATGCTACTTTCATTGCTTCCTGTGTCATTAATATACTGCTTCATCCACCATTTAATGCACCGTTTATTCTCTGAAACACAATTTAGTTTGAAAAAATAACTCTCTCATCTTCTTTTTATATGCCAAAACTGTCAATTAATGCTTTAAGGCTGGATTTAGTTCCTTTGGAATCTACTCGTATTCAAAGCCCAACCTATCTGTGGAGATAATGCAGGATTTTACTTCTTAATTACCTGCTCACATGTTGACAGGAATTATGGCTGCAAACACTTGGTTAAGCCACCTAAAGTGGCCTTTGGATTCCAGAAAATGGAGGACCTGTCCCAAAAACTCTGTGAACTTTTAACACCACAGTTGGTTAGTGGTAAGAATTTTTGTAGTGTTTATTTAATAGCCTTCTGTAATGTCCTAAATGCAGCTATTCACTACAGGTCTCTTTACATTATATTGTCATCAATTTGCAACAATGCAATCAGAATTAAATTACTTTACACGTAGCAAATAGTAAGAAAATGTCTACAGTTATATAAATATCTCTCTATTTCTTTTTTTTTTTTGCTGCAACCATTGTTTTGTGACGATTGTTTAAGAACTGAGAAACATTGGTTATCACTCAAAAACAAAACATTGAAAAAGTGAGCGTGAAAATCTTGCTAATAGACTGAAGGATCAAAGGATAAACAATTGGACAGAGATCTGTGGGCAGTAAGATATCGGGTGAGAATGAATTGAATCAACTGGTCAAAAGAAAGCAATAAAGATAATTAACTAGTTATTTCGGTATCTTACTTGAGTAATAGACTAAGAGAAGATGCTTGGAGAATTACTAAATTAAAATGATAGCCAGGCCAGTAAAGAAATCCTTTGTTTTATAATCTCTATGCATTCCTTTTGCTAGTCATTACTGATAAAGTCCTGGAATCATCAGCCTCAAAGTACCATATGGCACAGAAACGCATCCCCCCATGACTTTAAAAAGCCTAATTATCCAGTCATTGTAAGTATGTCACTTAGCATTATCTTATATATTTTCTGCATCAGAAGTGTAATACAGATTTCTATTGTGTACAACCCTCAATGGCATCTGTTAAACGGTTATTAATACATTTACATGCCTCCAAAGATAGCGAACTGATGATGCAGTCTAGAAACACACAATGAAATAATTTTTCTGCATTTTAATAGACCAACATTCTGTTTTAGCAGATGATGTATTAGAAATCAACATATCAGCAGTAAACATGTTTTTAATGATACATCGCTCAGAGATATCCTTCCTTAGTGTTTATCTTGGAAAAGCATGATGCACAAAACAAAATGTGTTAGTCTGAATAAGTAAGATAACAAAGTAAGGATGGAACAATCCATTGCCATATGTTCACAGATTTTTGCCTTAAACAGCTCCCATAAAAAGTGAACCTTCACATGACATTTTAAATTGAACAGTCTCTTGAACCTCTGATTCATTCAAGATCAGATGTTCTGCCGTTCTGTTTATAGCAGTTGTTTCTATAGCGATGTGTTTATTCTTCATATGAATAATATAGACAGAGCTAGGAATACATGTGTGCCAAGGAAAATATTAAATCTCTCAGACACGTTTGCAAATATAATACTTTAAGAAATGTGTTTCACTTAAAGGCACAGTGGTTAGGAAATTGTTTGATCAGAAAGATAATGATGTTTGAAGTTTAAATGTTCTGGAGCCATCAATCTGACATATCTTGGCAACAGTAGAAAAAAATATCTTCATTGACAACGTTTCTTTTTGCCTGAGGTGAGTGGATGGTTTCAGTTGCAGATGTTACACTGTATGCCTTAAGATATTGTTTTATAAAAAAAAAAAAAAAAAAATGTGAGCTATATATTTTTAAAGGTATGATGGTGTCAACCTGTCAAACAGCTATGGAATAGATTTGTTTTAGCTGTTTCGCAGTTCTACGGACATGGATTTCTGCATATAGGCATTTGTTTTATCATTATAAGGGTCATGATCTGTTAAGGACCATGATCAATTACTGTAGATGTATTGGCTGATTATATCTATTACACAAGTTAAGCCATTAAGGAGAGTGCTTAAAGTGTCATAAGAAGAAGACAACGGACCTTTAACTAGAGTGCACTGCAAGTCCGATGTCCCTCTAGGCTATTGAAAAACATTTCAACCACAATATGATAAACTTGAAGCTGAGAAGCTTTTCTTTTCTGAGACAAATGTTCCTCAATTCAGTTAACTCAATATAAAAAATAAAAATCAATTTATCATAGTTTTATGAATCATACATATAAATAAATCAACTAACCATTGGTATATCTGAGAAGAAATTAGCAATTAAGTAGAACAGTATTGTAATGTATACAAGCAAAGAAAAAAAAAAAATTTTTTGCCTTTGATAACTCCTCTCAAGGAACAATGCTTTTTTTTTACATGGAGCGAGCTTTATGGCATGAGAGAGTACATTGGCACTTAAATGTGATAGTTCATTGATATTGACACAAAGCATGGCCCCTGAATTATATGAATTATGTATGCCTGCCATAAAAAAAACTAAAATATACCTGCAGCAAAAAGGAGTGGTTTAAATTATATGCACCATCAATGTTGAAGTGTCACAGGAAACAAAATAAATATTTGCCTGGGGTTTGGGTGTTGCTATACATATAGTGTAGTGAGCATTCCGTTGCATAAGAAAAACTATGGCCACCATAGCTAGCTCTGTGAGCTCATTGACTTTGTCATAGCAATAGTAAAAGAAAATTGGTTCAAACATTAAAGGGTTAATCGAAGCACCATGATCACTTCAGTGATATGAAATGGTCATGGCGCCTGGCGTCTGTATGTGCATAGTTTCACTTTGAAACGCCGTACATACAGACTTTAACCCCTTAGCTGCCAGCAGAGTTATTGGGGCATCATCAACCAGCACAGAACTAGATTTCAACTCTGGCTGACTAACGTTGCCTGGGAGCATCATAGCCACTATAGAGTGCTGTAGTGGTTATGGTCATTGGAGTAAGTATTTATGCATCCTACAAGCAACTGCTTTAAGACTGAATGCACCTTCACTCCAAAAGTAAGCACAAGATACACTCACCGTTTGTTAAGAGTTGGTAAACATAGAAACATAGAAACATAGAATGTGACGGCAGATAAGAACCATTCGGCCCATCTAGTCTGCCCAATTTTCTAAATATTTTCATTAGTCCCTGGCCTTATCTTATAGTTAGGATAGCCTTATGCCTATCTCACGCATGCTTACTCCTTTACTGTGTTAACCTCTACCACTTCAGCTGGAAGGCTATTCCATGCATCCACTACCCTCTCAGTAAAGTAATACTTCCTGATATTATTTTTAAACCTTTGTACCTCTAATTTAAGACTATGACCTCTTGTTGTGGTAGTTTTTCTTCTTTTAAATATAGTCTCCTCCTTTACTGTGTTGATTCCCTTTATGTATTTAAATGTTTCTATCATATCCCCCCTGTCTCGTCTTTCCTCCAAGCTATACATGTTAAGATCTTTTAACCTTTCCTGGTAAGTTTTATCCTGCAATCTATGAACCAGTTTAGTAGCCCTTCTCTGAACCCTCTCTAAGGTATCAATATCCTTCTGAAGATACGGTCTCCAGTACTGTGTACAATACTCCAAGTGAGGTCTCACCAGTGTTCTGTACAATGGCATGAGCACTTCCCTCTTTCTACTGCTAATACCTCTCCCTATACAACCAAGCATTCTGCTAGCATTTCCTGCTGCTCTATTACATTGTCTGCCTACCTTTAAGTCATCAGAAATAATCACCCCTAAATCCCTTTCCTCATATGTTGAGGTTAGGACTCTATCAAATATTCTGTACTCTGCCCTTGGGTTTTTACATCCAAGATGCATTATCTTGCACTTATCCACATTAAATGTCAGTTGCCACAACTCTGACCATTTTTCTAGTTTACCTAAAGAGACAAATATATAACTTACGAAGCTTGACCTGATTGTTCTTGTCATTTTCAATCCTAAAGTGGCTTTTGTCTTTGTAGTTGCTGATACAAGTGAAATAGCCTATCTATACACACATTTCAAAGAGCCACATGTCCGTCCACATCCTTTGTTTTTCAGTGAATTGCTGTTTTTATACAATCACGTCTTCTTTGCAGTCATTACCAGCTCAACTGTAAAAGGAGAATGGGGACCCTTGAGGATTTGGGGTTCTGTGTTTGAGTACCAGCAAAAGCTGGTGTTTATTAGAATATACAGACAATGTGAAAGAATGTATGTTGCCAGCACACACCTAACTCTGCAATGTTACCATCCAGTCAGTTACAGCAATCCAAAAAAAGAAGGATAGTCAAGCGCACCACTTTAGGTGAAAAACACTCCAATTTTATTTAGGATATTAAGCAAGTGGTAACATTTTGGCATTAGTTGAGTACTGTATTAAGCTTGATAAAGTAAGGCTGAAACATTGCTGCGTGCTGTGGAACCACGGTAAAATTGGAGACCTTTTTACATAAAATGTTGCGCTGAACCATTACTTCTTATACAGAGACACAACTAGGTGACCCTTTAGGCAGAAGATGCAAGCTATCAGTAGAATTAATAAATAATAATCCAACAGGTATTTCTAGGTTTTACTATGGAAACTCTACATTAATATAGTCTACATTTTCAACAGTAATCACTGTTGATGTATAATGTTTTGTTACCAAACACATAGCTAATTTCAATTAAACAGTAGTGCTGGCACTCTTTTGACACTCTTGACCTGACTTAACTGTCTCCAATATAATACAACAAAAAATATAAATAATACCACACTCAGATTTTGTGCAATTGGTAAAGTTAATTATTTAGTTGTCTTATATCTATTATTGAGCACTTTGCACAAAAAAAAGTATGTATGGATAAAAAAACAAAAACATTATAAGTGTTATAAGTGACCACACAAAATTAAAAAATAGCTATACACATAAATCAACACAGATCTGCCTTAGCTCAGTTATATAAAATACAATAAGAAATGCATAAACAATAGCAAGAAAAATCAGAAATGGAAT